GTGAGACATAAAAGTCCGATGTCAACATTCTTGTTGCTGACACACACACACACACACACACACACACACACAACACACACACACACAACACACACACACACACACACACACACACACCACAACACACACACACACACTGAGGAGTGGAATTTCTCCCACTGGAGTTCAGGAACAGGTGTCCAGTGTTTTTAGTAACTCCCTGATTTCTGTCCTTATGCATCAATGGGATGAATCACAACCAGCTCTGTCCTGTGAGTTAACCTGCTATACACAGCAGCATGACACAACCCGCGTTCAGCTTTACTCTCATTATTTAGGGACGTGATCTCACACAGACATGATGCACGTTTAGTTGAGCGAGATGTGCTGTGTGAATTTGATATGTTGGTCACATACATAGAGAGCAGAACGAATGTCTGTGCATTTGCAGCAGAGGCTATTTCAGTCTGTGTGTATATTCATCTTATAGCTGATCATTAGTCAGCTGTATTGTTATGACAATCTGCCCATCGACAGGAGACGGACTAAACGAGTGTATGTAATGTTGGATAGATTGTAGTAAAAAACAGTTTCCTCCTTGTATTAAAATGTTGATCTGGAGACTAAAATCTCTCAGTAAAGAGGATTTGATAATTATGCACAAATTTTACGTCATGCACTTTGTGATAACATTTGATAAATTTCTTTTATAGTTTGAAAAACATTTCTGCTGGTCAGAAGTCAGAACATTTCCTGTTAGTGATTTTCAACCCTGCTGCAGCACATACAATTTCAATCCATCACTGATTAACAGGTTTTTACTGATCTGTAATTTTTTGGATTAAGTGTGTTACAGCAGGGAAATATGTAAACACATGCAGGGCAGTGTGACAAGAGCAGCAGGGTCAGGAAACTTTGTTTTACAGCATAAAATATGATCATAAGCATGGAAACGACTCTGCAATGCGACATAATGAACATCAGTTTTTCAGAACATTTCCACAGTAATTTATTCTAATGGAGCTTTATTGTTATCATTTGGCTCATTACTGCAACTTTTTATGATTAAGATAAAAAATAACAACCCAGGATTGTAATAATAAATTGTAATAATCTGTAAAAAGTGGACTTTTTAATTCAGTGATGAACATGGTGTGTCCACAGATTAGAGTTTAAAACAATTTAATAAGATTAAATGAGATAACCAAATAGGCTGATAGATATTTACAGTCCATAAAAAGCCCATTAACTGCTTATCGCTTAGCAGAATCACATCATGAACCCGGTAATTTGATAAGACGAAAATAAAAATCAACCAGCGCATGTTGAGAATTATTCCTTTCTTCAGATTTGACTTCCCTGAAACATTTTCCAATGAAATATGAAGCTGAATTTGTCTTCTGAGAGTCTAGAGACAAAAATACCCGAGTGAGGGGCCACGTTGTTGTCATATCGGGTCCCTGACATGTGTATGTATGTGTGTGTGTGTGTGCGTGCGTGTGTATGTACTCTATACTGGCGTTGGGTTTCCAGCCTCACACCAGCTGCTTCTTCACATGCACACTGTTGCACGCTGCTGCTTCACATGCACGCTGCTGCTGCATGCTGCTGCTGCACGCTGCTGCTGCATGCTGCGCGCTGCAGGCTTCAACAGGGATAGACATGGCTGGCATTAGGAAGCAAAGAACAAGGTGTGAGAACTCCGTCGAATGATTTGAGTATTTCTGCTTGAGTTAATCAAAGATTTTTATATATGCGAGTTGTGTCTGACTGAATATTAATAATCCAACAACTTTGATGAGAAAACTTTGCGTTACTTTGATAAAGTTTGTTAACAAAGGAAGAAACAGAGACAAGAGATGCTAGTCGTTAATTTTGCTAGCTTATTTTTAACTTTCTCTAATACTGTAAAAACATAATTAAATATGCCTGCAAAATAAGGTTTGCAAAGTACATTTCACCTAAACAAAACCAGAATCAAAGCCAAGTTAAAACACCATAAAATGAAATTGGAAGATTTAACACATCAATTTGTTCTAGCCTGTTATATTTCTACAAATAACATTAGTTTTAACACATCTTTGCCTTCTTCTAACTTAAAACTCGGTGTGAAACGCTGCGGGTCGGCTGGGTCATCATCAGGTCTCCAGAGAAATGGTTGCTGATCTCACCGTCTTTCAGAAGGTTTTTGGAGTTCCAGTCAATTTTGAATTTTTTCCTCTATGAAAACAAACTTTCATGTCAGAGTTCATCAGCCACAGGGAGGCCATTTTGAATCTACTTATCCCACTGCTTTATTAAAGATCATATCAAGAAAAGCTGAATATTGTTCCTGTATGAACGAAAAACAAGAAGAGAAAAGGAAACTGCAATTGTTCTTCATGACCTGTGCTAATCTCACACTGCCAGGCCTCTGTGTGGTCACACTGATAATGATAAGCTGCTGGTTGCTGAAAGGGAAAACACTCCATAAAAAATATGGCAGAAGCAAATTGTCCTTTCAAAGGATCATTACTCAAATGGAGTTTTCAAAGAAAGATATATCTGAAGCTAAGAGCAAAGCCTGAATTTATGAGCCGGACTCACACACTTCATCTCTCGGCTTCTCCCTGCAGAAAGCAACATTTTCTTTAAATTAACTTGTGACTGCATATATTTTACAACCACCTTGCAGTACATTAAATGACGTTTATTATAGGTATATATCACATTCCAAAAATATATAATGGAACGGCAACAGAATATAAAATAATCCTGCACAGTTTTGTTAAATTTCTCTACAGAATATGAAACAAACTTAATTTTGTCTCCTTTGTGATCCAGTCCAGAGCTTTCAACTTAATTTAGCTAAATATTGAGAAATATCATCCAATATAATTTGCATTGTTGTTGCTTCTTTGCTTGAACCATGTTTCTGAATGTGAGGGACATGAAATAAATAACAATAAATGCATTGTCTGCACGTATGTAACACTCCATCAACTTAATTTATCCCCAAACTGGATGAAGGAGGAAGAAATTAGAAGCTTGAACAATATTTACATTTTGTGCAAGTGACGCTGGGATCAGTGTTTTTATGCTGCTCGTTCATCTCTTGGTTAATAAGTGTCTAATTGGAGGAAGTCTTTTTCAGTATCTGCTGACGCCATCGCTGCAGGAAGGCCAGCCAGGATGAGAACTCATTACTGGTTGGTTGTTCTGGCTGAGCTGAGAGCCAGGCCTGGCAGAGAGAGACACACACTGCCAACGCTGCTGACACACTTACACACATTTTGTGCTATCAGCCTCAACTCTAAAATGGCTTTCAAAACTTTACCCAGCTTTCCAGAAATGTTGCCCAGTCCTTCATCCAAATCCCAGTAAGAAAGGAGATAAAGTGGGATTTTTAGGAAGCACTCTGTACATACATGACACTCACACAAACAAACATGGACACCATGTCCAAGTTTCGCAGCAAGAAGACAGATTGGAGTCAGTGTGAGCGTGGTGACACGAATGTTTTCTGGCAGTCAGTGATAAAGATGACATCACTGCACAGCCGTGGTGATGAACAATGTGTTCAGATCCGACTCTCCTGAAAAGAGCATCCGTCCCTCACTCTTCTCCCATGGTCCGGTTCGCAGCCCCACAAACATTCAGAGCGCCGTTTTACTGCAGTTCAGTAAATGAACTGGATGACGCTCCTGTGTCACACCAACAAACTGCTTTACTATAAATGATAATGCTCAGTGGCTCAGCTGAGGGGAGTTTCTGATCTCCAGTGCATGTGTGGGTTTTCTCCAGGTACTCCAGTTTCCTCTTACAGTCAAAAAATATGACTGATAGGTTGAAACGTCTCTTTAAATTGTTCTCAGCTGTGAGTATTTATCTTGTATGTTTCATTTCAGGACTTCAGTGCTCAATAAATTAATTAATGTGAGAATAATTATTTGCTTGTGAATATCTCTTGTAATTGTTTCAAATGCTTCTCAAATCCCTATTTAAGACTAAGTCTAGTAAAGCGGCTCCTTTTGGTTTTGCAACGCATTCTGAACAAATGTTTGTACTTTGGGACGTGCTTCAGAAATTTTGTGCATTTAGCTGCAGCTTTATTTAATTATGAATTTTTGTTTATTCATGTCCTCAGATGCAGCTCGCTCTGCACTTCAGCACTTCGGTTTTTCATTTTTTACACACAGCTTCTGTGTCTTTGAATGTATCTGAGGACAAGGTCCATTTTCTCCTGCTGAAGAAAGTTTTCTGGTCTAAAAAGTTTATCATTGAAAGAGAAAACAATCTTTATTTTTAGTAAAATGACAAGAAAAATGCACATTAGCTAAGATGGGCCTATTCCATCACATTAATGTGCCATGCAGAGATATTTGGATCTGCAAAGCCTGGCAGGTTAATAGTTAGAAGGAAAATGTCCTAATTTCTCTGAGTGTCAGTTTGAAACAACATTTGAGTTGATAAAATCAATGCCAGGTTTATGACAAACACCTCAGTAGTTGCTCAATTTTAAATGACCAACTGAATGTTTTTCTAAACATAATGAAATGTCCAGACTGCAAATGTTTTTGCAGAAGTGCAGGAAGCTGTGAGATGAGGAACATTCATCTCACCGACTGTTCTGCTGTGAGAAAAAACCACAGACAGAATCAGGAGTTTCAGCTCCGTCACAGTTATTGGAGCCCCTGATAAAGATATGAACAAATACTTTAAGGCTAGCAGTTGTGTGAGCTTGATCACCAGGCATGTGGCAAAATACAAAGTTCAGCCTGTTTGTCACGGTTTTGGTTGTAATTCTAGAACATAGAAATATTTAGCATTTAGTATTTATTTACTTTCTTCCCAGAAAAAAAAACAAAACATCTGCAAATGCAATAAAAGATGCATTCGGATATTTTTGTATCAGGATTGTGGAAGGCGTCAGATCATCTAAAGTGATGACACTCATCCCTTCACCGAAATGAAATTGTGACCGACGTCTAAAACAAAAAGGCCTACAACATGTCTGAAGTGTAAAAAGTTTTGTCTCACTG